GCAATGTATGTGTGTGTGTCTGTCTGTGTGTCTTTTATGCATTACCACACCTCTTATCATATCGCCGTGAAACTTTGGGAAGTTGTTGAGAATATTCCCGGGGAGGTTTCTGCGGAAAAAATAATTTCAAATTCGCAGGGATGGCGCCCCGGCAGGGCGGGATTTGTTTTTCTCTATATACGGTATACAAAAATAAAAGTCTATTTTGGTTTGGCATCGTTCATCCGATAGCCATGAGACTTTGGGGAGTTCATTATACCACTCTAGGGAAGGGTTCTGTTAAAAAATCATTTTAATTTCGCAACGGCGGCGCCACGGGAGGGTCCAATTTTTCTCTATATACGGTATATAAAAATAATAAAAGTGAATTGCAGTGACACCGTTCATCCGATAGGCATGAAACTTTAGGAAATTGTTGAGAATATTCCTGGGAAGGTTTCTGCGAAAAAAAATATTTCAAATTCGCAGGGGTGGCGCCCCGACAGGGCGCGATTTGCTTTTTTCTATATTCGTTATATAAAAATAAAAGTCGATTTTGGTTTAGCATCGTTCATCCGATAGTCATGAGACTTTGGAGTTCATTATACCACTCTAGGAAAGGGTTCTGTAAAAAAATCATTTTAATTTCGCAACGGCGGCGCCACGGGAGGGTCCAATTTTTCTCTATATACGGTATATAAAAATAATAAAAGTGAATTGCAGTGACACCGTTCATCCGATAGGCATGAAACTTTAGGAAGTTGTTGAGAATATTCCTGGGAAGGTTTCTGCGAAAAAAAATATTTCAAATTCGCAGGGGTGGCGCCCCGACAGGGCGCGATTTGCTTTTTTCTATATTCGTTTTATAAAAATAAAAGTCGATTTTGGTTTAGCATCGTTCATCCGATAGTCATGAGACTTTAGGGAGTTCATTATACCACTCTAGGAAAGGGTTCTGTAAAAAAAAAAATTAATTTCGCAAGGGCGGCGCCACGGGAGGATCCGATTTTTCTCTATATACGGTATATAAAAATAATAAAAGTGAATTGCAGTGACACCGTTTATCCGATAGGCATGAAACTTTGGGGAGTTTATTATAAAACTCTAGGGAAGGGTTCTGTAAAAAATCATTTTTAATTTCGCAAGGGCGGCGCCACGGGAGGCTGCGATTTTTCTCTATATACGGTTTATAAAATTTCGGTTTCACACCGTTCATCCATGTACCATGAAACTTTAGGGAAATGATTAGATCACTCAATGGTAGGGTTCTGCAAAAAAATATTGTTTAATATTGCAAGGGCGGCGCCCCCGGGGTGGGGGGAGCGATATTTTTTTTCTCTATACACGGTTTATAAAAAATAAAACTCGGATGCGGTTCATCCGAGTACCATGAAACTTTAGGGAGTAGATGAGAATACTCCCGAGAATATTTCTGCGAAAAAGAAAAATAAAGTTTCTTATGGGCGGCGCCATATAGGGTACAACTTTCGTCAATACACGGTTTGGCGCCCAGAGTTTTAGAGCGACTATGTTGGCACTTGGCACCCGTTAATCGAGCGTCCTGCATAGCGAGTAAGGAGTACTACTATATTCAGCGGTAAAACTACAACAGGCTTCTAAAAATAACTTTGTAACGCGAGGAAATCCTTCTGTACAGTTTCGTCACCTTGCCAAAGATGAAAAAATAACTTTTTGAATATGAGGAGCCTACTGTAGAGTTTCGTCACTTTGCGAATGATGCAATAAGCATCTATTATTAGACAATCCAGTCAGAAATTGAGATTGAGCATCTAATAATAGACCATTAGTAACGCTAGCATATCGCATCAGTCACACTGATGTTTAAAACATGTCAAATACTTTTTTACATGTTAAAGAAAAAAAAACTGCTCATTTGTGGCACGCACTTTAGCGAATGATGAAATCTGCATCATTATTAACAGGATGCTATTTGGTACGATGGCGTCTATTACTTTTAAGGAGCCAGGGGTCGTTGCGGTAGTGTAATAGGGGGTGGGGGACCTGAGAGCGTCCCTGTACGTCTCTGACACATGGGCTGTCACCGAAGTGTGTTCTAACATATTATTTCGGTGAGTGATTAATGTACACTCAGTGTTTACATGTGGTAGTGTAGGTAAACCTGTGTCCCGATATTTATGATTTAAGCGCAGGCATTGTTTACATTTAAATAACTCACTTTTAGAAAAGACGGTCACGCGTCTAAGAACATATGATTGTACGCGTTGGTGAAATCTTTCTAATACATTTCGTCAAACTTTCTTCTATCCCCGCGGTAACGCGCGGGGGACGGGGACGCTAGTATATATATATATATAAAGCAATGTATGTTTGTGTGTGTGTCTGTCTGTCTTTTATGCATCACTACACCTCTCATCACATCGCCGTGAAGCTTTGGGAAGTTGTTGTGAATATTCCCGGGGAGGTTTCTGCGGGAAAAAAATTCAAATTCGCAGGGGTGGCGCTCCGGCGGCAATTTGTTTTTTCTCTACATACGGTATAT